TATCTCTCTCTCTCTCTCTCTCTCTCTCTCTCTCTCTCTCTCTCGCCGGTTCTTTTTTTCTTTCTAAATGTATGGAGACTCAGCATGAGAAAGTAATTTAATATCCCAAGACGATAGCAACGGCCTTCTCGCTCGAAGCTTACCGCAGCGAAAGAGTTATTTTGCGAATAATTGCGAACCCAAGCTGGGACCATAAACAATCGAGACAGGGAATAAATTGCATTGTGTATCAAGGACTCAGCACGAATTTCATTCACGTCGTATAATAGCGTACAATTTTCAGGAGCTTCGGAGGTCTTGACGCGTTTTTATCCGTACTGTACATCAGTTTTCCAACCTCTCGAAGGAAAGCTGTCGTTTCGGCCGGTGATTCTCTGTACGAGGTCGTCCAAAGCCCACGCGATTAACCCGCTAAATTATCATTGCACCGTCTATTGTCCGTCAGCCGACTCCCCCGTCGGTCACGGTGATTTCACCTTTGCACAGAAGCCGCTGCGGCTCCTTTCGCTCGCTTCCGCCGTTCTCTATCCTCTCGCGCGATCTCCTCTCTCATTAAAAGCACCCACGCTCCCCGAGTTTCCCACGTGCCCAATCACGTGATATAATCAGGGATTATAATGAAATTGCGCTCCCCGGCAAATTGGCGACATTGGAGCCGACAATGAATTCGGTACTTACAAGAAAAGGAAATTGTTACGCTAATTGCACAGATAATTAAGTAGTAGGGAAAAAAATTAACGAGATTCTTGGCTGATTACTCTCGGATTTGTCTAGTAGAATTAAGTTGGCACTGACACGCTTTTATCGCTTTATCTAATCGCTTTATCTATTAGCTAATTAATCATGTATATTTTTAAAATTTCTGCACACAATACTATTTTCTATGAATATATAATATAAATATGTGCGTGTATTTAAATCAGATTTATGACAAATGTAGGCTGAACGGAGCGGCTAGCTTCAACAAAGTGCTACAATTCTGTACTTTTGATTCTTTTAATGTTACTTTTTTATTCAATATTTTTCAAAATGAAAGCCATTTTCGTTTATTTTAACAACATTTATTAAAATTGATTTTTTTACGTTATTTAATATTAAAATCATATTTATTTCTTTATTAATCTTTATTTTCTAAAACTGATTTCTTATTCATCGTTTATTTAATATTATATTATTTAAAACTGTATTTATTTTTTGATTATTTATGTCTATAGTATCTCTATAGTATTGTGTACAGAAATTCTTTGAGACCTTTGAAACATGCCTCTTTATAGCACGCGAAGGCCTGGCAATCATCGTCGGTGGCATCTTGCGATGATCCGATCGCATCGCATACAATCACGATATTATGGATCGTAATTGCAGGTGTCGCATGAAAGAGGTATGTGACAAATGTGCGATCTCGTTTGCGATCTCATTCGGTATTCGAAAAGCGTCGGCGTTTCACAAGCGCGCGTTCGCGGCCTTCGCGCGGACGCAAGCTAATTGATATTCGAAATGCGCGATATTAATTACCTTCGCGTAACTCTTTTGTCGTAATATTTATGGCACGAGGGTCTTCAAATTCTTTTCAAATGTAAATATCTATATTACTTCCTTATTGAGTTAGTAACTTATCGGTGCATGTACACACACGCGCACGCACACACACACACACACACACACACACACACAACAACACACACACGCACGCACGCACACACACACACACACACACACAGAGTCTATATTCTAAATCAAGACTTTGATATCCGAAATTTCATTTTACTATTTTACTTTCACGTTATCTCTTCTTAGTATTTATATTTAGCATTTAAAGATCAGTATTTCTAATTCTATTCAAATATGAAAATATTTTGAGACATTTATTCCATTAGTATTTACATGAAATTAAAAATAATATATTTCAAATTATGTCTCTTTTAATTGCTTTAATTATTCAAATTATATTAAATTACTTTAAATTATATTAAATAACTGTGTTATCATTAAACAATTGGCCTTTCTCAAAT